GCCGACTCTGGACGATGCACATGTCTCTTTTGAATGCAATGAAATGCACACTGACAAAAACAAAGGACAGCAGCTATAGTTGCATTTTTGCACAATCAGTGCAGTGGGTTTCATGAAGGTAGTCTCATTCAGACTGGTCTGGATTCCAGTTTTGACCTGGCCTGGGTCTATTCGGCACCCCAAACGAGAATATAACAGCATGTAATTTCTACGTGCTACCGCCACACCACACTGCCAGGTTTGCCAGTGGGTCGTCACACAGCACATATGCAAATAATGAAACAAACTTATATTTGTCATTAAACTTGACTATATTACTCATATTCATGTTGAACAGGGTTTTTAATAATGATATTTTCTTTCAATCCTAAGTTGCCTTAAAATCAAACTAATACTGTGATACAAGAGAGGCCTAGCCTGCTTTGAATCTCACTTTTGCCTTGTTCCGGGTACTGGCGTGAGGTTGAAACTGCCGTCTAATCCAGTCGGGATGAGATCACCTTTTGGGAGGCTGGGCTAACTGAAATTCAATGGCATTGTGAGGCCTATTCATTTGATTTTAGGCAACTGTAACTATTAATCCTTCATCACTTTACTTGACCTCAGGTGAATACCTTCCATATGCAAGGTCCAACGGTATTTCAAAAACTACCTTTTGTTTTGTTGGTGTACCTTTCATCTTGTTAGCAAAGGCCTTTGCAAACCAAAGTTGGATGGCTTTGGTGCTGTGGCTTTTGGATTATACGGAGAAGGCTAAAAGCTAAAAGCGTGAAATGTATCCAAATTGTTTTAAAGAACGGCCTAATCCCAGACTTTAAGGCCCGAAATTCATCTTCAGTACAACAATATGGAGTTCATATCTTTTTGTCTTGCTCTTATCCTTACATGGAATGGAAAAGTTTAATCTTTTAAGAAAATTAACAAAGACAGGCTAATTGGAAATTGCTGTTTCCCTTTCAAGACACGTTAATCGTGCACTCTGCTACTTACTAAACATTACTTTAGTGACACTTTTACATTCGCTAATTTTCGTCCATTTCTTCTTCTTTAGGCGGGAAATGAAACTGACTATGAGGGCGTTTACTGGTATCCCGGGGATCCTTCAAGTGGGAGGAACACCGCAGAAAGTGACACAATCGCAACAAACACGACATTAGGCGCCAATCACTACGGTCCTAACAACGTGTCGGGAGCCGGACTTCCTCGAGCCTCGAACACCCTTTCAGCCAATGAGTATGCCAGCGATGCGTACACCGAAATTCCGGGTAGGCTTCTTTGACTTTGTGTTGGCATGCAAAATAAATTAGGATCCGCGAAATTTTAGTCGTCCCTCAGTTAAAGAGGCTTTTCTATCTTATCTTGCCGATCGTATATTTATCATCTTCACAAACTATTGAAGTTGTTTGACCTTGTTTTCGCAACTTGGTCCTTTTGGTAGGAAGGCTTAGAGAAACACACCTTGTACAGAGTCCATTGTATGCATAATCAGTTCCAAAGTCGGACTCAGGACAAGGTGCGTTCCTCTAAGTCCTCCTACAAATATGACCAAGTTGCGAAAATAAGGTCAAACAACTTCTATACAACGAAAGGAGACTGCGAACTCACAAAAGGACACATCATCTTGATCTTCATTTCTTCGATTCACAAACTATTGTCCACTAAAATTTCCTTAACGTCAGTTTGAGCGCCCATCTTCACTCACGTCTTTCGAAATCTGTCTCATTTTTAGCTTTTAAATGTCATCTTGCTCTGCATCAACACAGGACATGGAAAAGTCATCGTCTATTGCTCACCCAATAGGACTTTTAGCAAAAGTAATTAACTGGCCATTTGCAAAAAGGAGGATTTAACTTAGCTGGTCAATAAAGGTAAAACGCATTGCATA